TTGTTTTACTTGTTATGAATTGAGTATTCGAATTACATTGAAAATTTATTTTAATAAAATAAATAATGAATAATTCAATAATTCAATAAGATGACAAATAAATGAATAAAACAAATAATTCAATTGATAATTTAAATAAAACAAATAAATGAATAATAATAATCAAATATTTCAAACAAAACAAATAAACAAATAGTTTGAATAAAATGATTAAACAAATAGTTCAAATAATTCAAGCAAAACAAATAGTTTGAATAAACAAATGATAACAATTCAAATAATAAACAAATGATGATAATTCAAAGAATAAACTAATGATAACTATCCAAATAATAAACAAATGATACAAATCGAATAATAAACAAATGATGATAACAATTCGAATAATAAAACAAATGATCTCAATTCAAATAATAAACAAATGATCTCAATTCAAATAAACAAATGACAACAATTCAAATAAACGAATGATGATAATGGAAATAAGAAAGAAATGACGTCAAGTCAAAGAATAATAATAATAAATGAATGATGTCAATTCAAATAATAATAATAAATGAATGATGATAATTCAAATAATAATGATAATGAATGATGATAATTCAAATAATAATGATAAACAAATAATAATAATAAACAAATGATCTCAATTCAAATAATAAATGAATGATACAATTCGAATAATAAACAAATGATGTCAATTCGAATGATAAATGAATGATACAATTCAAATAATAAAGAATGAAACAATTCAAATAATAAATGAATGATACAATTTGAATAATAAAGAATGAAACAATTTGAATGATAAACGAATGATAATAACAATTTGGATAATAAATGAATGATAAAATTCAAACAAAACAAATGATTTGAATAATTTGAACAAAAATTTTTATTACAAATAGAAACTCAACTCTATTGCAGAGTCACTAAATCTAGCACAATAATGTTCAAACTAAACTAAAATATACAACTACACTACTTGAGGTGTCCCTACAAGAAATATAGTAAAACTAATAAAAGGGTCTTAACTAATAATTAAATGTTGGCTATACCATTAATCATCAG